ATGAGCCACTGCATGGAAATTTGGTGGCATGGGCAGCAGGATATAAATAGAAAGTGGTCAGATGCAGTCTGCGGGCTGGATCAAAGTGTTAGGCAGGCTGGATCTGGCTCCCAGTCTGCTTCTTGCCCAGTCCTGGTCTAGGAGGTCCTTCAAAACGTGTACAACATAATTCTTTAATCAGATCATTGTCAAGCAACGTATATCACTAATTTTCTCTGATGCCAAGTTGCAGCACTCTTAGTACTTCTGGACTAAAAACAAGACTCCAGAATTAATTTGCGTTTCTTGGATGGGAGTTCAGAACAATACTAATAGGCCAGTGTTCTGTTCTATTTACTTATGATTTAAGCCAGTTTTGAATCCAGGCCTTGAGAGATGTATTTAGAGTCTTCAATTACTTGGCCATTAAGTTTGCCATATAAGAAAAACTAGAAAAATTCTGCCTTTGGTGATTATTTTATAAACAATTGTGATTACTTAATATATCAGCAAGATAAATTATTTTTATCAAATTCTAGTCTATTCAGATTTGATCAATACACATACTTAGTAATCATGAAAATTTAAAAAAATTTGTTTTTTCTCTTATGCAGACTGGGATCTTGGGGTTTGCTTGCAGTATGAATGCAGAAGGAAGCAACTGCGAAAACCCGACATTTTAAACTCCTGGATTGATCTCAGGGCAACATACAAGGTGGGCAAATCAATAGATTATATGGGTACAAATGTTTCATCTCCTCAAATGAGTAAAAGTAGATAGTATATATGTAAGCTAACAACAGGGTTACCTGATTGTTTCTTCTACACATGTGCACACATTTTACTGATCAATATAAAAGAATGATGTTTGCTTCAGAACTATATACATTTTAATTTTAGAAGGCTTGATTTTAAATACAAAACATGGTAAGAATCTGGAGTACATGTTATACTGTTCATAGGCCAATGAGAAATTTTCTGGCTGTTTTGACCATGTCCCTTATTTTTCCTGCTTTTGTCGCTTCCCAGTCTGTCATGCTTGCATTACGGTTTTCCTTCCTTGGCTAAAACACAATAAGCTTCCTCTGCTTGAATAGCACTTCTGAATCTGATACAAAAATTGAGGTTTTCCAGTTAGTGCATTCTAAACAGCATGACTAATATACAATTGAATGATGATAAAGTAATTTGGACTAGTCTAAAATTATTTGAATAGAAAGTCACTTTTTATTTACCACAGCAATATGTATCTTCTGTGTTTCTCAGCAATCTAGAAATATTAGATACAGGCAGTCCCCGGTTACGTACAAGATAGGGACTGTAGGTTTATTCTTAAGTTGAATTTGTATGTAAGTCGGAACTGGTACATATTGTAGGGGAAACTCTAGCCAAACATTTCTCCAGAGCTCAGTTTTATTCTCCCACACCTCACTTCCCTCAGTCCTTTATTCTCAAGCTGAGGTGTCTGCTGAGAAAAGCCACTCCACGTCTCCCTGGTCTGCTGGGGGGAAGCAGCTAGTGCGGGGTTGTCTCACCCCGTTTGTAAGTAGGGATCCGATGTAAGTCGGATCCATGTAACCCGGGGACTGCCTGTATTTCTTGGAATAATTTCTCTGTATTCTATTTAAAAGGAATTTACACCACATACAACAATTTCAATTGGTGGTCCTCAGAGTGTGGTCTGTGGACCACTAGTTGTCCGCAACTGTCTTGGAGGTGGGTTGTGGGCTCAGGACTCTCTCCCCCTCCTGCAATAGGAAGCCCGTGTTCTCGCTCTAGCCCTGCTTCTCCCCTGTGAGGTTGGAGTGCTAGCACTGGTTTCCCGTTGTACTGGCAGGATAGCAAGCTTCCTGGGCTGGATCCAGCTTATGGGGAAGGGAAGTGGCTCTGTGTGCTGCCACCCACCGTCCCCCCTTCACTTCCCCCCCACCCCCCGGCTAGGGGAACTTTAATGCAGGAAACTGCTTGCCTGGAGACTTTCTTTGCTACTCCCCATTGGCTGGAATCACGGCCAATGGGAGCAGCAGGAGGGTGTGCCTGGAAGTGGTGGGAGGTACAGAGCCAGACAAGCACCCCCATCTCCCTCCTGGCACGATCCCACACACCCATCGCCCTCATGCACTCCTGTTCCCACAGAGATCCCATACCACCACTCTACTCCTGTACCCTCTCTCTCTCCTAAACTACCTACCCTCAGCCCACTCCTGAACCCACTCAACTCCAGCCCGCTACTGCACCCAACCTCCCGGCCAGACCCCCACCCTCAGCGTGTTCCTGCACCCAACCTCTTGGCCAGACTCCACACCCCAAACTCTCTGCACCCATTTTGTCATCATGGGTGGTTGACTGGTGGTTCATGGAAAGGTCTATGTTGAATGGGGTAGACCATAGGACAAAAAATTTGAGGACCACTGATTTCAATGAACAGACTGACGCAATTTATAATTGTATTCCCAATACGCTATTTAGTTATTTCTGTCTTCGATGCAGATTGTACATATTTAACTGAAGTATTTGACAGGGTACAGTAGCATGTGTTGGCACAATGCCGAGACCAGAGTTCTGGATTCTTGGCAATTCTGATTTGCTCTATGCTTTCTTAACTTATCTGTAAAATGAGGATACTTTCCTCACAAGGGCTTTGTATAATTCATAGAATCATAGAACTGGAAGGGACCTCGAGAGGACATCAAGTCCAGTCCCCTGCCCTCATGGCAGGACCAAGTACTGTCTAGATCATCCCTGATGGATGTCTATCCAACCTACTCTTAAATATCTCCAGTGATGGAGATTCCACAACCTGCCTAGGCAATTTATTCCAGTGTTTAACCACCCTGACTGTTAAGACGTTTTTCCTAATGTCCAAACTAAACCTCCCTTGCTGTAATTTAAACCCATTGCTTCTTGTACTATCATCAGAAGCCAAGGAGAAGAGTTCTCTTCCCCCCCACACTCCTCGTGACACCCTTTTAGATACCTGAAAACTGCGATCATGTCCTCTCTCAGTCTTCTCTTTTCCAGACTAAACAAGCCCAGTTCCTTCGGCCTTGCCTCATAGTTCATGTATTCTAGACCAGTGTTTCTCAACCCTTCTCAGTTTGGTATCATCTGCAAACTTAATAAGTGTACTCTTTATGCCATCATCTAAATCGTTGATGAAGATATTGAACAGAACCAGTCCCAAATCAGACCCCTGCAGCACCTGACTTGGTATGCCCTTCCAGCATGACTGTGAACAGTTAATAACTATTCTCTGAGAACAGTTATCCAGCCAGTTATGCACCCACCTTATAATAGCCCCATCTAAATTGTATATGCCTAGTTTATTGATAAGAAGGTCATGAGAGACCATATCAAATGCCTTACTAAAGTGTAGGTATTCCTTATCCACAAGACTTGTTATCCTATCATAGAAAGCTATCAAATTGGTTTGACATGATTTGTTCTTTACATATCCATACTGGCTGTTACCTATCATCTTATTTTCTTCCAGATGAATTCCTTAATTACCTGCTCCATTATTTTTCCTGGCACAGAAGTTAAACTGGTCTGTAGTTTTCTGAGTTGTTCTTATTTTCCTTTTTATAGATGGGGACTATATTTGCCTTTTTCCACTCTTCTGGAATCTCACCTATCTTCCATGACTTTTCAAAGATGACAGCTAAAGGCTCAGATACCTCCTCTATTAGCTCCTTGAGTATTCTAGGATGCACTTCATCAGGCCTTGGTGACTTGAAGACATCTAAGCTTTCTAAGTGATTTTTAACTTCTTTTTTTTAAACTTCTTCTAAACCTATCACATTCCCACCGGTATTCACTATGGGTATGTCTACACTTGCACCCTCTTTTGAGAGAGGGGTACAAGTGAAGACATTTGAAATTGCAAATGAAGCCGGGTTTTAAATATCCTGTGCTTCATTTGCATAATCGCATTATGGTGCTATTTCAAAATAGCGCTATTTCAAAATACAAAACACGGTGTAGATGCGGTTATTTCGGGAGAACACCCTTCTTCCGAAATAATCTTTATTCGTCATAAAATGAGGTTTAACAGTTATTTCCGAAGAAGGATGTTCTCCTGAAATAACCGCATCTAGACCACATTTGTTATTTCGAAATAGCGCCATAACGTGATTATGCAAATGAAGCGCGGGATATTTAAATCCCGGCTTCATTTGCAATTTTGAATGTCTTCATTTGCATCCCTCTCTCAAAAGAGGATGCAAGTGTAGACATACCCTATGTTAGTCATCTCTTCGTCATCAAACTTCTTAGTGAAGACCAAAACAAATAAGTCATTAAGCACCTCTGTGATTTTCAAGTTTCCTGTTATTGTTTCTCTCTCCTCACTGAACAGTGGGCCTAGCCTATCCTTGGTCTTCTTGCTTCTAATATATTTATAGAATGTCTTCTTGTTACTCTTTATGTCTCTAGCTAGATTGAGCTCGTTTTGTGCCTTTGCCTTTCTAATCATGCCCTTGCATACCTATGTTGTTTGCTTATATTCATCCTTTGGAAGTCAACCTGGTTTCTACTTTTTATATGACTCATTTTTTATTTTTAGATCATGAAAGATCTCCTGGTTAAGCGACAGCGGTCTTTTGCCATTCTTTCTATATTTCCTATGTAGCGGAATTGCTTTTGTGCCCTTAATAATGTTCCTTTGAAAAACAGCCAACTCTCTTAAGTTGTTTTTCCTCTTAAGTTTTACTTCCCATGGGACCTTACCTACCCAGCTCTCAGAGTTTACTAAAATCTGCCTCCCTGAAATCTATTCTCTCTGTTTTGCTGTTCTCCCTTCTACCATTCCCTAGAATCATGAACTCTATGATTTCATGATCACTTTCACCCCAAGCTGTCTTCCACTTCAAATTTTCAACCAGTTCCTCCCTATTTGTTCACATCAAATCTGGAACAGCTTCCCCCCAATAATTATCTTAACCTTATGAAATAAAAAAATGTTTTCAATGCAGTCCAAGTACTTATTGGATAATCTGTGCCCTGCTGTGTTAGTTTCCCAACTTCTGTCTGGATAGTAGAAGTCCCTCATCGCCACCAAATGCTGCGCTTTGGATGTTTTTGTGAGTTGTTTTAAAAAAGGCTCATCCATCTCTTCTGCCTGCGTAGGTGGTCTTTAGTAGACCCATAGCATGACATCACCGTTGTTTTTTACCCCTTTTAACATAACCCTGAGACTCTCAACAAGTGTGTCCCTACATCAATCTCCACCTCAGTTCAAGTGTACACATTTTTAATATATAAGGCAACCCCTCCTCTTCCCGCCTGTCCTTTCTGAGTAAACTGTATTCTTCTATACTAATATAACAATCATGTGTATTATCCCACCAGGTCTCTGTAATACCAACCATGTCATAGTTGTGTTCATGTATTAGCACTTCAAGTTCTTCCTGCCTGTTACCCATACTTCTTGCATTTGCATACAGGCATCTAAGATACTGATTTGATTTTTGCCTCAATTCTGCTTTGTCTTTCCTTTATCTCTGTTATTATAGGCCAATCTCTCTCCCATTTCCAACCCATCTCCCAGGTCCCCATATTTTTCACTAAAAAAAATTGTTTTTTTAAAGCTCTTCTACAGTAGAAAGCCAAAAGGGCTACATGGTGCTCTACAGGATTTGGGGATAGAATTTGAAGGACGGGAACATTCTGGTGAGTACAACATGACAGTTCTTTTTTTTTTTTTTCCAGAAAAACTTTTTCATTAAGGTACATAAAACACCAATACTGGGTCAGACCAAAGGTCCATCTAGCCCAGGATACTGTCTTCCTGACAGTGGCCAATTCCAGATGCCCCAGAGGGAGTGAGCAGACAGGTGTAATCATTATGTGATCCCTCTCCATTTCCAGCCTCTGACACCAGTCCTACCCATCCTGGCTAACAGCCATTGATGGTCTTAATCTTCATGAATTTATCTAGTTCTTTTTTGAACCCTGCTAAAGTCCTGGTCTTCACAACATCCTTTGTCAAGGAGTTCCACAGGCTGACTGTGCTGTGTGAAGAAAAACCTCCTTTTAGTCGTTTTAAACATGCTACCTATTAATTTCATTTGGTGACCCCCTAGTTCTTATGTTATGGGAATAAGAATAACTTTTCCTTATTCACTTTTTCCACGCCAGTCATGGTTTTATAAATTTCTTAGTCTACTCTTTTCTAAATTGAAAAGTCCCAGTCTTTTTAATCTCTTTTCATATGGGACCCATTCCAAACCCCTAATAATTTTTGTTGCCCTTTCCTGAACCTTTTTAATGCCAATATATCTTTTTTGAGCTAAGGCAACCACATCTGTATGCAATATTCAAGATGTGGGCGTACCACAGATTTATATAGAGGCAATAAGATATTCTCTGTTTTATCTATAATCCTTTTTTAATGATTCCTAACATTCTGTTTGCTTTTTTGACTGCTGCTGCATATTGAGTGGATGTTTTCAGAGAACGATCCACAGTGACTCCAAGATCTCTCTATTGTGTAGTTATAGCTGAATTAGTCCCCATCATGTTGTATGTATAGTTGGGATTATTTTTTCCAATGTGCATTACTTTACATTTATCAACATTACATTTCATTTGCCGTTTTGTTGCTCAGTCACTAAGTTTTGTGAGATTTTTGAAGCGCTTCAGTCTGCTTTGGTCTTAACTATCTTAAGCAGTTTAGTATCATCTACAAATGTTGCCACCTCGCTGTTTACCCCTTTCTCCAGATCATTTATAAATAGATGGATTAGGATTGGTCTCAGTACGGACCCTTGGGGGAAACTACTAGTTACTTCTCTCCATTTTGAAAACTTATCATTTATTCCTACCCTTTGTTTCCCGTCTTTTAATCAGTTATCAGTCCATGAGAGGATCTTCCCTCTTATCCCGTGACAACTTACTTAAGAGCTGTTGGTAAGGGACGTTGTCAAAGGCATTCTGGAAATCTTAAGTACACTATATCCCCTGCATCCCACTTGTCCACATTTATTGACCCCCTACTCAAAGAACTATAGTAGATTAGTAAGGCATGATTTCCCTTTACATAAACCAAGTTGACTTTTCCCCAGCAAATTATGTTCATCTATGTGTCTGACAATTATATTCTTTACTATAGTTTCAATTAATTTGCCCGGTACTGATGTTAGACTTACGGGTCTGTAATTACCAGGATCACCTCTACAGCCCTTTTAAAATATTGGCAGAGGTATTGGATGATTCAGGACACAGTGATTTTTCATTTCTAAGATCTGATTCTGCAGGGTCTCAGGCACAGAACTGTCACTGAAGTACATCACAGTGCTCTGCGGAGAAGACTTACAAGACTGGTTACTATACAAGAGGTCAAACTTTTAATTCACATACAAAAACCATTAGCATCGTTTGGTCATTATAAATGGCTCAGTAGAGAGATTCCCAAAGATTAGAATAATCATGGGAGTTTCCACTCACACAGGGTGTAACTTTTATGGTGTGGTGTGGAAGAGCTTGAACTGCCACAGCTCATCGTGTACCTGTATTGTCAATAGTTTTCATTGTTGTATGTACCTCTTTTAACAGACCTTGGGAAGTTAAGAGAATTTAGTGTAAATCATTAGGTCACTTTATAACTACTATTCTCAATAATACATTAAAATAAAATGTCTTCTGAAGGGTTGGATGATTCTCGGAATACTGCCCGTCTGGCTTGGAGGATGATCTGTGATGGATGTGTAATGAAAATTACTAAATCTTTGGATAAGGTTAGTGCAGGGGTTGGCAGCCTATGGCACGCTTGCTATCAGTGGCACGTGAGCCGATTTTGAGTGGCACACGCAATGGGAGCTCGGTCCCTCTGCCCTTCCCAGCAGTGGCTTGAGCCTTGCAGTCACCACACAGCTGCAGGCTGGAGAACCAGTTCTGGCTTCCTGCTGGAAGGGCAAGTGCAGGCCGATGGGCCAGGGGAGACATAGGCATGTAGGGGACGGGGCAGCCTGGCAAGTGGAGAGAGCAGCATGACCTCGCACTATGCTCTGCATCCCTGGGGCTGCCCCTGCCCACTCTGGGCATGCAGCTCCTAGGAGCTAAGGGGTTAACACCCTCCCCTTGCTACAGGCTCATCTTCCTGCTTTGGGAGGGGGCAGGGCTGGAGCTGCTCTGTAGATCTGGGGCTGGCCAGCTGGTCACAAGCTGCTGCTGCCTCCGTGAGATGCCAGGGCCTGGGCTGTGCTGCACTGCTCCCGCGGGTTGTGGGGGAAGGGAGGGCAGGGAGTCCTTTTCCCAACACATTGCTGTGTCTGCCCGCCCCAGAGCAGCAGCCTGCAGGTGAGATGTGAGCCCTGGCAGGGAACTGATTCTGGTCCTTCCTCCCCAGCTCTTCCTTGCCTCAGTGCTGCTGCCCTGCCAGTGTGCATACTGGGGGCACAGGGATGTGGGAGTACGCGGGGGAGTTGAAGGAGGATGCGGGGACAGGATGGGAGGGGGCAGGGGTTGCAGTGAGGGGGATGTGGCGATTCAGGACATCGGACTGGGGAGGGGAACGAGGCTGGAGCAGAGAAGATGGGAGGGGGGATACAATTTTACTTTGCAGAAGCTGCACATTCTTTACCTCCCCCTTCTTGCCTCCCTCCCCATTTTGCTATTTGGCTGCATTCTCATCCTCTCACCTTTTCTGTGTTACTCCCCCAACCCCTCCTGCCCCCAACTCCCTCCTCCTGCTGCCAAACTCCCTTCCAGACCCTGCTCGCCTCACTCCTTCCTGCACCCCACCTCCTGCCCAGATACTGCATACCTATCCTACTCGCTGGCAGCCCTGTCCCGAACATTCAACCCCTCATTTTTGTCCCCACTCCAGAGCCTAAGGAGGTCCACAAAATCCACTAACTCCAGAACCCCAGAAAAGTAAATTTGGCCTGTGGGAAGCCCTGAACCTCAGTACTCCCTGTCTCTCACCCCGTGGGGCTGGAGTGCCAGAAGAGTGAGGTATCTCATTTGGGGCCCACAGCAGTGAGAGTTGTGGGTTTTAGGAGGAGTTTTTAGTGCTTCTCACTTCTGTGGTCCCCAGCTGATTTTTCTATGGGTCAGTGGCCCCCAATACAAAAAGGGTCCCCCATCCCTGCCATAAATTAAAAAAAACTTCAGAGGGGTAGCCGAGTTAGTCTGTAACTAGAAAAACTTAAAAAACAACGAATAGTCTAGCAGCACCTTAAAGTCTAACAAAACATGTAGATGGTACCATGAGCTTTCATGGATACAACCCACTTTTTTCATCTGCAGAAGTGGGTTGTACCCACGAAAGCTCATGATAAATCATCTTCAGCAGACTTTTTCATGTGTCTCATACATTGCTCTCTAAAACCTATTTACACCCATTTTTCAAAATCTTGGATTTGTTTATGGAATTCCTAGGTACAGCCAAAGAAGAATTCAGTGTCCAGAATTTTGAATATGAACCCCATTGAAGAGAATACATTGGGAAGTAATGATGACGCTGAAACTTCAGACAAAGATGGAATTTGCAATAGCAGTTGCCTATTTGAGAATGAACTCAAGAAATGTAATAAAATGATTATAAATTCTGTTGGAAAGGTAAAAGAACAGCCACAGTCCAGTTCTACAAATTCCACTGCAAATGTCCATGTTGGGGCTAGAAGCAGTACAAAGATTGATGGATGTGGTAAAACTCAAAGCTGCTTGTCTCCACATATTGACAGACTTTCTGTTCCATTTGGACAGCTACAGACTTCTCACTGTAACTTACTAACAGGTATCCAGAATGGATTAAATAATGGACTTATGTCTGCTTCCAAGTACAGCTCTTCAGTACTTGGTTCAGGGCTAGTGCTTGTCTCCACTACTATTTCCTCTGTTAATATCTCTAATGTAGATGTGAGTACTAGTTCTGACTGTTTATATATGTTGACTGATTGGGAAGATGTAGCTCTAATACCAGAATCACAGCATCAAGAAAATACTGACTCTGTGAAGCTTAAAGATGACCCAGATACAAAGACTTTATCAGTCTCTGGAGAAGCAGTGGTTTTGAAAGAACCAGCTACGATGAATTCAGACTTTGAATGTTTGGAGAAATCCAATGAACATTTGGAGACTTCTAAGTCTATTGTGTACAAAAGTCCTAATACTACTATCTATGATGTAGGAATAGTTCAGAGGCAAGCTTTAAACTGTTCTGCCTTTAAGTTACCATCTGTGAAGGTAAATGTTTCAAGTGCAGTGTTGACTGAAAATCATTCCACCCCTTTCTCACAGAATCCTAAGAGGAAACCATCTAGTCCAAAAACTTTGCCTCCATCAAAAAAACAGGCATTCACTGTGCATGAAGATGTAGCTTCATCTTCTGATCATCCCCTACCTTCGAGAAGTTCAAGTTCATACAAAGTACCTTCTATTATCTTAAACTCCACAGTGAGTCCGAAGCAATCTTTAAGAGCTATGAAAAGTGAAAAACTGACTCCTCCCTTATGTAACTGTGGCCGAAGAGCTAAAAGACTAAATGTGTCCAGTGCTGGTCCAAATTATGGCAAAGTGTTTTATAGTTGTCCTGCTGGAAAACATGAAGGGAAGAAGAGAGGCTGCGGATATTTCAAGTGGGAGCATGTACTTCTAAAGGAAAAATCTGCTAACACTATCTCTACACATTCAACTACTACAGTTGGTTTAACATCTCCTGGCATAAACTCAGATTCTTCCGGAAATTCTCACAGGAAATATCTAGGTCTCAGACCTTCTATGAGAACTTGAATATTAATTAATTTTTGTCCAAATCTTAATGAATGATAAGTGTTCGCAGAAAATAAGCAAATGATGCCACAGATTTCTGTTTCAACAGGATTGGGCATACATGATATTACTGGGCTTACTTAAAAATGAAAACTCGTGAAGCATAAGTGGTAACAGTTGGACACAATAACGAGAAAATTTAAGGAGATTAGTGTGGCTAACATCAAAGTATAAGCAGCAAGCCTACCAAGTTTTAATATTTTTATTCTCTTATCGGGCATTTTAGATTTTTTTTTTTTTTTTTTTACAAACTTGATCTTTAAATATCAGTGTTAGTGATACACATTTTGTTTGTGACATTTTTTTCTAAAAATACATCTATATATAATTAACCTTCTACAATGTATGCATGTGTCTTTAACCCTTTCTGAAAAATATTTCAAGTAGTAATGATGGTTTTAAAATTATTTTATGCAGTCTTTATTACTGAAATGAAATATAGGTAAATGTAAATTCCTGTGATATTCTGAGTAAATAAACTTTTTAATAGCAAAACTGCTAATGTGTCAGTTGATATAACATTTCTTTCTATTCTCATATGATGATCATTATCACAGTATCTGGGACAGTCAAATATTGTGTTAAAACAGATACTCAGATACTTGAACTTCATTTAATAACAGAGATTACCTTGTTTGTAAATCTATTCACTTTCACTAAATGAGTACTTAAATTCCAGGATTTTCATAATGAAAACTCAATATTGGGAAGATTTTCCTATTCTAAATGGAAATTTTAGGGAAAATATTTTAAGATATCTGCTCCAACCACTGCTTACTTCACAGTAATATGAATGCTGAGAAGCAAAAGCATAGTCACTAACTTGGAAATCTATGCATATTCCCGAGATTACCAGTTTTCCAGATTGATGGATGCATTAAAAATGTATGATAGAGAAGTGTTGTAGTAGAAAGGATGAATCAAAAACAACCGATAGCTGTGAACCAGAAGCATGCAAGCCACAAGCAGAAATGTGTGTGTGTGTATTATTTAAAGCTAACAGATACAGAAAACTGCTTATGCAGCTTATTTTTCCTTCTGGTATTATTAAAGTGATATTTTTTTTTTATAAATATATTAACACAGAGAGGAAATCCTTGAACTAAACTTGATTGCCCAGAACACAGGAGGAACTGAATGCAGGCAAGTATACTCAAACTTATTTGCTCCAGAAGGTTGGACGTAAACGTTTGAAGAGCAGGAGTAGGGTTTATTTAAGCTAGACATGCAATCATTGATCCTGGTATTATCCTGTCAGAACTTAACAGCATGTTTAGGGACCTGCCTGGAAATGTGGACTATTTTGAAATAGCCAGTTTCAGCGTTTAATAAGAACTTTGAGTTGGAAGATGCTAGCTATACCAATAAAAAGTGGTGTTTGCATATCTTTTTTTCCAGCATGCTTTTCTAATTAATAGCTAGTTCATTGTAGTGCTAAGATTAGAGTTTTGGAAGCAGATGGGTTTGGGGCTTACTACTAGGCACACTTGTTCTTTTCTATATGCCTTTACATGTAGACAACTAGAGCAAAATTAAGTTTTTTAATTATGACCAAATGCTTTTAAGTTCGTTAGGCATAGAACAAATGGAAAAGGAATTCTCACCAAATATCTAAACCTGCTTTGCTTTCATAGCCAAAATTTTCCTTGAAGTCAGTGAAGTTTTAGTTGTGCATACAATGTACAATAATGCTCTAAAATTTATCATTTAAATCTATAATATGTCAAGAGAACAAAATATTGCACCATGTCAGCAATATACAATATTTTTGTAAGAACAAATTATGGAAAATGGAGACTAGATGATTTTAAGCTTTTCCCCACTCCTCCTTGCGCAATTCATTTCTTCGGATCTTCCCACTGACTGTCTTTGGCAACTGTTGAACAAACTCCACCTATTGGAAAAGATAATAAATTACAACTAATACAATATATAGTAAGAGGTAGATAAACTGCTCTACATGTGCTCTACATTAAATTGCCCCCGAAATTTTCCATTTTCCATAGGATCTATTGTAAGGAGTGTAAATAAATAAAAGTATTGGCAATGGAAAGTTTAGCAAAGGGAAAATAGATTTTATTTATATATATATATATATATATATA